TGTGTAGTATGTGTCCAAACGAACACCAAATTATTTCTTCGTAAATAAATATTTTCTTGCTAATCAAAGAAAGTCAATCAGTCATTTTAAAGAATAAGTTTCAAGGACTTCCAATTAAAGCTAGCAAGTTTTATAATATATAAAGGATTTCCTTTTTTAAACTATAAAGCATTTTCTAATTTTTATTAATAAGTGAGTTTGATCACGGTGTGACAGTTATGATAATATAATTATATTATGTTACGGTTTCGTTGGATACAGCTGTGATAATGTAATGAACTTAAGGTAGGTCAATTTCATCACAATCCTCATTTGTAAATCTCCGTGATTCTGGAAATCAGGCAGCTGAGCGTGGCAGCTGTCTGGCGGATGTATAATTTTGATGTGACATTCTTGGCGAGTACGATCTGACACGGCCCAGAATAACGATTATTTCTGTATCGCGATTTTACTAACTGGAGTAAAGTTGAGTTTCTCCATTTTGTTTATAACAGTTAGTTTCTGACATCTTTATGTTGCTCAACCATGTCTTAAACATGTAAGTTTTTAACATTCTAAATAAAACTTAACATTTATACTGTTATAATTACATATATTTTACTTAACACTGACCAGAGTAATGAATATTTTACAAACAATCAGATTCAACTTGCAATATTTTATGCAATATAAATAATTTAATCATATTATATGCAAAAAAATTATGACTATCTTAGATTTCTAGAAATTAATGTAAAAGTTATCTCACAATTGCCTTCATAACTAATATCATGAACATACTATACAAAATCTAAATCAATTTAAAAAAATATTATTTAAGAAGAAAAGTTTAGGATCAAACATTACCTTTACTAATTTAAAAATTACGACGATTCTTTTATGTTCTTGCAAATACAAAGATATTTGCATAACATAATAAATGATAGTTTAATTACAAATCATCCACCGTTTTTATTGATGGATACTTAGCAAATAGGATGTTCGGCTGTAACCATACCACTTATGTAAACGTCAAGGAAATCCAATATGACGGACAGGCATTACGCGGATGCCAAGTGGGCCGATCTGAGAATGCGGAAAGATTAAGGTGTTTTATGAAATTTCATATTTCAAGCACTTATGGTATGTTTTGATAACCTGCTTTCCATTTCGACGGATTTTAGCCGGCTTCTGTCGCCACCTAGATTACAAATTGATTTATAACCTAAGTATATATCTAAAATAGTTTTAAAACTAGGTACTCTTGTGATTATATTCATGAACATACGTTTGCGATTTTTAAATAAAGAATTGAAAAGACGAGCTGGATTTCTTTACATGTTAACATTAACATATGCAAGTACTAATTGCACACATGGATAGATCAAATCCGATGATTTCAAACTTCTGGATTTCCCTTAGAGGAAAAGGCATGAGTTCCAGATCTTATAGAGCTGTTAATCACTACGCCAACACTGCTCAAACAAAGGGAAGGTCCTCCTCATACTCGGAACTGAAAAAATATACCGACTCGTGTCTTAATGATTTTGTTGTTGCGTTAAAGTTTTCGACCTCACGAAAAGTGTTATGTATACGTATAAGTATTTATTAAAGGCCTGGGATATAGTAAATATTCGCGTAATCTCGCTTTTCAGGCAGTTTTTAAATATATATATAACTTCCCGTAAATGAATACACTTCAATCACTAGTCACCCACAACTTGGCTCCAGACGCTGGAAGCTAATTGTAGTCGACCATGAATTCTTCGAATATTAATTTCTAGTAATATAGGTCAGGAGTACCTACATCGATAAAGTGCAATGCAGATAATGCTAAAAATTATCTACTACAACATACTATCATTTTAATTATCTGACTCTAAGATAAATGATATCATACAAATTCATTTTTTTTAAATTATTGCAAGAAATTAGCTTAATTAAAAAATTAGATTCGATTATTAATAAGAAAATGTCTGTATAAATAAACAAATCAAACCAAAACGTATTTAAACAACTACGAGAGTGATTAAATCCTGTTCATCCTTATTTTATGATTTATTCTTGTCTTGGAAAAACTTGTCGCATTTTTATTGTGGTAAAATGGGTAATTAAATTGTTTTAATTGGATAAAAATGTTATACCTTCTAATACAGAGCAGTCTTTATAAACAAAATCCAATATCTCTATAATATCGTTTCTGAAAAACATACATAATCAAATTACCCCAGATAACGCTTAGTCTAGTATAAAATTGTAGGCTCTCGTGTTTTAGCCACCTGCTTCTTAAAAGTCATCAAAGCAGTATATTACTGTAAGTGTTGATCTTGATAGCACATATCCGCAGGATATTAATGCTAAACACGATTTCCCCAGTATTTTGGCTTTATTTCAATATAAATTCGTCATCTTGTTAACATACCTTATTTTATTTCAGTTTTGTTGCGACAAATTGCTGTCTTTTCTATATGTTCTGTCAGATTTGAAAACGAGTCGCATATGTTGTTGTGATTAAAGTTTTTCAATTTAGAAATTAAATATTAAGTACAGTAGAAATTTACTGTTTATTTTTTTTACAACCATTGTTGGTTGGATATGAAGTAGGTACCTATGTTTCCTGTACCTTAAGTATCTCAAAGATTATCTTCAATATATATTTTCAATCAGCTTAAACATAGTGCACTGATTAGACCTTCTAGAAGCACTATTCGGTATTGGACAAAGTTTTTAAAGGAATTTGTAATGTTGTTCATGTATTTGTTTAATACACAAAAGTACTGAAATTAATTTATAGTTTATTTACTTGACCGAAATCTGAAGATTATGAGCACGTAGAAATATAGGTCAATTATAAATATAGAAATGTTAGGATGTACTTTCGATTTTAATGTGTTTATGTATCTCTAAAACATCTTTATAATAATATATTTGAAAACATAAACTTGTTTCTATATATTCCTCTAGTGTGCATGCACGAAAATTGTTCGAGGTGCTATGCAATGTGTAAAACTTGGCTTTAGGGAAAAATATAATCTTTGCGACACCTTTGAGATAGAGAAATTTACGAAACGAAACTTTTTACTCGTGCAATGTTTGTTTAAAGGCTGTGAACTAACAAGTGTTTCACTATTTGCTTTGATAGAACATAATTTTACGTTCAAAGTGTTCCGTCTAAAAGAAATGATCTATTCGTTTCTTCGTTATATTTATGAGTCCATTAACATGGTTTTGGCGATATCTGGAGCAAATTCATTCATCACTTTACAAGAATCTTCAGTTAAATGCTGTAAATTATTGTTGGAACGTGAATATTTTTACGGGAATGAAGATATTAATCTTCAAAGAGATTTCCTATTCTTGAGAATATAAACATTTGAAGAGCAAAGTATCATAAGGTATACTTTAGAAACATATCTGCACTAATAGACATTAAAAATATGTCGGTATATCACGCGATGCTGAAACATTACCGCGATAATTTCGGTGACAGCATAACCTATGTCAATTGTCAACCAATTAAATAAATATATACAATGAGAACTATTAAATTATCCATTTTAAATACTTGATAACAGGCAATACCATAAAACAGTTGAATATCATGCGTACTCATTAAACCGTCAGCGTGATCACATTATCTGGCTAATTCGAGAAACGTCTGATGCCAAGTATTTTTATGATTTTTCTAAATATTCAAACTATAATAAACAAGCAGTTTTATATTTGTAGACGACATGAAATGTTATCTCAGATGATTTGAGCTGTGACGTTTGCAGATTTAAATGTACTAAATTAGTACCTTACAGTCCGTTACAAGTGTATTTAACAAATATTTTGCTTTTAAAGTTGATATAATAGAAGTTAAGGAAATAAGCGTACCCTTTCCTAAATTCTGGCTGGATGATCCGTCAATATCACGTGAATTATGTTCATTAACGAATTTTTATTATATAAGAAAATTGTAAAACTGTATACTTAATTGTAAATAAACAATTTAACTTAAAAAAAGAATATTGTCTTTGAATTGTTTCGTGTTGGTAGGGTGTAAAAAATCGATCACCCTCAGAAAAAACGTCTAGAAAGTGCTGAAAAATTAAATTCCAAACCAATATCCTGAGAAGACGAAAAACTGTATTTATAATCAAATATCTTTATCACAGATAATTCGTAGTAGGTCATAAATCTCTCTCGCGTCGCCCAATAGTATTTTATTTAACTATCCATGTATTACGTCACATCCTAAATTACATGCTCGTGGAACTCGTCGCTCGTAGAACATAAACATAGATCGATTATTTGAAATTTATGTTATTTTAAAATAGTTGAGACATCCGTTTTTATTCTCATTTATATATGTCACATATATAAGACTGATTTTTAGAATAAGGAGCATGCGATTTATTTGAAAAAAAAAACACCTTTTGTATTAGATTTTTGACTTAGAACAGTTCACTCTTAAATAAGTGAATTTAATATAGTTCTTGGCACGTAAAAAATAAATCAGTGGCACTACAATCTTTTTAGGTCTGCGCCTCAGATTTCTGTATATGTTTCATGATCATTTGTTTATCAATCTAATAGGCAAGTAGGTGCCTCCTGTGCCTGATACACACCGTCGACTTTAAGGCAAGCCGGTTTCTTAACGACGTTTTCCTTCACTTTCGAGCGAATGTTAAATGCGCACATAGAATGAAAGTCCATCGTCGAACCTACGATTTCAGGAATGAGAGTCGCACGCTTAAGCCAAGCCAACACTGCTGCACCTATCTTAGCGATATTTGACGCGGGAAATTTGGGTGAAAGTAGGCGCTTATACATATGATTAAAAATACGTTAAAGACGACTTCGTACCCAAAGAACTTCAGTTAATCCATTCAATTAATAATCTAATAATAATGTACTTAACTTGCCAAGAATAATCAATAAAATAAAAATAATCGGGGACTATATAAAACAAAAGCCACACAACCATACACCAATTATCGTAGCAATACCTAACAATCAACATTTAAAGTAAATCAATGGCGCTAATGGAACTGTGGAATTCTCTTGTCGGTGGTAACAAGGAGTCAGACTGGAGTGAAGTAGCGTCTCTATACCTCCATAACCGTAAAAAATACTTCTCAGTGTCTGAAATAGATAAAGAAGAAGTTCCTATAGTGTTTTCTGAGGGTCATAAAATCAGCTTCAACAAAACTGGACTGGGATTGGACTATACCCCACTTAACTCTATCACAATATTTCACATTGATACTAGGAAAGGTGTGTATAACCATAACCATTAGTTTAAAACGATTGAAAGATTTATTCCCTTACTGTTATTGTACATATATTTACGTACCCACCTTTGCTTTGTTTGTCTAATAACAGAGAAAACCAATAATTCAAAACATGGAATGCACGACATAGATGTATAAGGACGGCATGTACGTGTGTCGTAATCGTACTTTATAGATTTGCATTTCGAAATAGTGGCCGAAAAACAGTACAGGTTCTTGTGTAAATTTCACCCATTACACACTTTATCTATGCCGTGTGTTTTATATTTATACACTTTGGAAAAATACAACCAGCCAAGTAATTCATCTCATTAATATTCATCTATATATTTCAGCGGAAGTAAAAATGCCCAGTGGTAACGTCGATCAGCCTGTCATTGAAGACAACAGGGATGGTACTGTGAGCATCAAATACGAGCCCAGAGAGGAGGGAGTACATGAATTGTATGTTAAGTACAATGGAGAACATGTTCAAGGTAATGAAACACTTTCTAATAGATAAAATTGTAGAAATAATATGATATTTAAATATAATGATTATAAACTTCACTTGTAATATTCCATATTAAAGGTTCACCATACAAGTTCCACGTGGACTCCATTCCCTCCGGATACGTGACCGCATATGGAGCAGGTTTGATCAGTGGCGTCAGTGGAGAGCCTAGTCTTTTCACCATCAGCACTAAGGGAGCAGGATCTGGAGGTCTGTCGCTGGCTGTAGAAGGTCCTAGCAAGGCTGAGGTAAGCTATTATGAGTTGAACGTGACTCTAAGAATAATATAGAAACTATTAGATGGATTTTTATTTGAACTTTTTTGCGTTTTCGAGTAATTGCGGAAAAATATTTTTTTTTAATTTAGCCCTTGCCGGGTGTTGCGGCAAGAACATTTAGAAATATTGTTTTTATACCATTAAAATTCATTATATCAAAAATGCAACTAAGTAACACTGTTCGCACTATGTAAACAGTGTTGTTACATCAAATATGCTTCTTATCTGATTTCCCAATTTCCCCTTTGAAAAAAATCCTCCATAGATAGATTTGATAGACCAACTGCTAAATTATTTAAATTCTCTTTTATGACCAAGCTATCTTTCTGATATTTTCAGATAACATGTCACGACAACAAAGATGGTACAGTGGCTGTATCATTCCTGCCTACGGCACCGGGCGAGTACAAGGTATCCGTAAGATTTGGAGACAAGCACATCAAGGGATCTCCTTTCTTAGCCAAGGTTTGTTTTTATCAATATATGACAGACTTTTTTCAATATAATCATATTTGTTTGTAATTGCAGATAGGAGTAATTTTAAAATAATAGTTCTAACGACTTAAAAAGAATATTTTTCCCTTGGAAAATATAACCTTATCTCGTATATACTACTAGCTGACCGGGCAAACGTCGTTTTGCCATGTATTTTATTTATAATAAAAAAATAGGGGTTGATCGTAGAGGGGTGAAAGTTAGGGGTTGTATGTATTTTTTAATGCTGTATCATTAAAAAAAATATATTTAGAGGTGGACGGACAACCCTTAACATTTAGGGGGATGAAAAATAGATGTTGTCCGATTCTCAGACATACCCAATATGCACACAAAATTTCATGAGAATCGGTCGAGCCGTTTCGGAGGAGTTTAACCACAAACACCGCGACACGAGAATTTTATATTATATTAGATGAACTGTTTTGTTGTTATGTCTTGTGACGCTAAAATACTTTGATTAAAACCAACAGATATTGGATAGGGTAAGATGCAAAAAAGATTCTGGTAGCTACAAGAACTGTTCTAGTGTATGTCATACCCTTCACCTGACCTTTTAATTAAAACCTAATGACAATCAATTTTAAGTTTATAAGGAATATTGTTTGTATTTAAAAAGAAATAAAATACACATATACTCACATGAAAACAATCCAGCACTATTTCCTTTATCGTATATATCTTTATGATTTTGTATCTTTATACAACCAATTTTAGGCATAAAAGACGAACAATAATGTAATAATTACAAACATATCTAACTTGATGAAAACATAAATGGACTTTGATTCTAGTTAATAATATTAAGGCAATTTTCATCTCACGGCTGCATCAAGAGAAACGTCATTTACAACATTTGGCATCGGTTCAAAATAAAAAAATTTAAAGTACCCTACAAGTGATTCATAAGCGCCAGGTTTTTTTTCAATTTTTCTGAATCATCTGGAATTTCTTATTATACTGCCAATAATAAGAATTGTTCAAGCGTGCGAATGTGCTGTTTATATGCTTACTAGTACATAACATTGTTAAATTTTAGCGAAATTCGTAATATGATTTTTGAACCAATTTCGAAACTCGTCAAACTTGAAATGTTTTCTAAAATCATTGTAATTAACGCAAAGAAAATTGGAGAATTCGGTAGATGTTATTTTGTTTTCACATTTAAGTTCAATTTCTTTTCAATATCTTTTAAAACAAAATTATAATAAAGCTAGGCGACGACTTAAAAAATATGTATTTATCTTTAACTTCGTTAATGTGTTTTGTATCTGTCATTCTAAAATGTATCTTAATTATCGCGACACGTAATATGTACTAACCTTCGTAGTTAATGAATAATAGTCGCATAATTTAATTTTCCTACGAAGCTCTGAGAAATTATTTAATATTTACATGATTTAGTAGGCCCTGACTTGTCGTTCCTGGCATTAATTTCAATGCTTCCGCGATTTTCAGTTTAAATTTATATAAATTAACCAATGAGATGTGAAATAAATAATGCGTAAAATTTGTTCATTCAAAAATTAACTTGTAAACAATAGTTTTTATAATCCTTAAGTTATATATATAAAAAAAAACTATTGCTAAGAATTTGATATATGAACAGCACTCCTTGCCATGTGTGCTTATATATATATATATTTATATATATATATATATATATACATATACTATAACTGTTTTAGGAAATAATATACTTGTACTAAATTCCTCTTTATAATTAATTTAGTACGTTGTTTAAAAAAAAATAACACAAAATATGATATTACCTAAATTTTGTTGTAAACACTAAATCATAAGAAACATTTTAAATGGCGAATAGTCGAAATTAATATACACCAATGTAGGACCAAAATGATATATATATATATCTTTTAGCCCTTCCTCATTTAATCTAATTTATGTTAAAGGTTATTAGACGCGTTCATTTGACGAGAGTGCTTGTTGAAATCCAGAAAATACAGTATTTAAATGTTTAAACTTAGTTGCATGTTACCACGCAAATATCTCCACAGCTGCCTAGTCAGATTTGGCGCGTACCAGAGGACGGTCCCCTCTGGAACATTAAAAAAGTAACAAATTAGTGGCCAGTGAAGTGCTAGTGATTTTAAATAACGGTTTGTGTTTCTCAAAATGGCGGGAGTACGATTTTTTACACATATACCACAGATTACACTACACAATGTAGATAATTAATTGCTACGATAAATTGCGTATTGGTGAGTTAAGTGCTACGTTGTGCTACGGAACTTGGCTACGAAATCGAACGCTACAATTCGACAGCAGATAATGCTATTGTTCAACTGTAGACGAGTTGCATACACTAAAGTTAAACCATGTATTGCTAAATTCTTAAACAAAACATTGTTACATAATCAACTGGCATAAAACACGAAAGAAAACTATTAAATAATAATTTATCAAAATATAAACTTAATAATTAATGAATTTACCAGTATAGGTGTCTACAGTTTATACTAAGCATGACCAATCATTGAGATATTTATTATTCTAATACACATGATTTAAATCCAGATTTTATACACTGACGCGACTAAAAAGGAAAGCAATTCTTTCCTAATTGAAATAATTCAATAGGAAATTATTAGATTCGTGTAGTCTTTAATTTTGTTTTTAAATTTAAAAGTTACTAAGCGTTAAGGTGTTCCCTTAACAAACCTTTTAAATACAAATCTAGCAAATTTTAGTTTATTAATTAACATAAACATAATGATTCAGTGAATTTAAAATAGGATGCAGCATATAGTTCTAAATTCAAATAATGAAATACAGTGAAAGGCCATATCTTTACAGTTTTGTTCTTTATTAAATGACTGGGCACAATGTGGCTTTGAAAGTATGTCGTGCCTTCACGGCTCATAGATACTGCTAAACCAGTCTATTTATTATAACACAAGCGAACAGTTGTGATCATAATGAAATTTATTGATGTTTTTGCATTTTAGATGTTTGAGCCAAATTTTTATTTTATAAATATTTCTTATACAAATGATGCGTAGCAAGATTTTCAAATTGTGGTTATTGCGTCTGGAAAGTACTTTTGTTTTGTATTTAATTCGGTTCAAGCAAGACAGGTCCTTCAAGAAAAGAGCGTACCAATTCTTAAAGGGCCGGCGCAGCACTTGCGAGCCTTCTGGCATTATGAGTGTCAGATGAGCCTCCAGCCCGTTGTCCTCCCGTTATATATAAAAAAAGACATCATAATATACAAAATTCCCTTAAATAGATATAGTCTAAGTTTTGGAATGTCACAGAAAGTACCCTACTCGCTTTAAGTTCGAGTGTGAGCACTAAAGACTAAAAGACAAATTCCCCATATTAATCACTGCCTTTATAATAATGGTCTTTAGAAGGGGAATAACGGTTTTTTCTCTTACCCTAAAGGGTAAACCCTACACCCAAAATATATGATAAGCAAATATAAAAAAAACTCGGTCCAGGTGTCTTGAAGTAGTCGAAAACATTTCCTATTCTAAAGTTGGTTCGAAGCAGACGACTTTTTAGGCGCCTTATGAAGATAAGACAGGTACTATTTATTAGTTACACGACGTAATAGGTCCAGTAGATTTTTGTGTAGTATGTGTCCAAACGAACACCAAATTATTTCTTCGTAAATCAATATTTTCTTGCTAATCAAAGAAAGTCAATCAGTCATTTTAAAGAATAAGTTTCAAGGACTTCCAATTAAAGCTAGCAAGTTTTATAATATATAAAGGATTTCCTTTTTTAAATTATAAAGCATTTTCTAATTTTTATTAATAAGTGAGTTTGATCATGGTGTGACAGTTATGATAATATAATTATATTATGTTACGGTTTCGTTGGATACAGCTGTGATAATGTAATGAACTTAAGGTAGGTCAATTTCATCACAATCCTCATTTGTAAATCTCCGTGATTCTGGAAATCAGGCAGCTGAGCGTGGCAGCTGTCTGGCGGATGTATAATTTTGATGTGACATTCTTGGCGAGTACGATCTGACACGGCCCAGAATAACGATTATTTCTGTATCGCGATTTTACTAACTGGAGTAAAGTTGAGTTTCTCCATTTTGTTTATAACAGTTAGTTTCTGACATCTTTATGTTGCTCAACCATGTCTTAAACATGTAAGTTTTTAACATTCTAAATAAAACTTAACATTTATACTGTTATAATTACATATATTTTACTTAACACTGACCAGAGTAATGAATATTTTACAAACAATCAGATTCAACTTGCAATATTTTATGCAATATAAATAATTTAATCATATTATATGCAAAAAAATTATGACTATCTTAGATTTCTAGAAATTAATGTAAAAGTTATCTCACAATTGCCTTCATAACTAATATCATGAACATACTATACAAAATCTAAATCAATTTAAAAAAATATTATTTAAGAAGAAAAGTTTAGGATCAAACATTACCTTTACTAATTTAAAAATTACGACGATTCTTTTATGTTCTTGCAAATACAAAGATATTTGCATAACATAATAAATGATAGTTTAATTACAAATCATCCACCGTTTTTATTGATGGATACTTAGCAAATAGGATGTTCGGCTGTAACCATACCACTTATGTAAACGTCAAGGAAATCCAATATGACGGACAGGCATTACGCGGATGCCAAGTGGGCCGATCTGAGAATGCGGAAAGATTAAGGTGTTTTATGAAATTTCATATTTCAAGCACTTATGGTATGTTTTGATAACCTGCTTTCCATTTCGACGGATTTTAGCCGGCTTCTGTCGCCACCTAGATTACAAATTGATTTATAACCTAAGTATATATCTAAAATAGTTTTAAAACTAGGTACTCTTGTGATTATATTCATGAACATACGTTTGCGATTTTTAAATAAAGAATTGAAAAGACGAGCTGGATTTCTTTACATGTTAACATTAACATATGCAAGTACTAATTGCACACATGGATAGATCAAATCCGATGATTTCAAACTTCTGGATTTCCCTTAGAGGAAAAGGCATGAGTTCCAGATCTTATAGAGCTGTTAATCACTACGCCAACACTGCTCAAACAAAGGGAAGGTCCTCCTCATACTCGGAACTGAAAAAATATACCGACTCGTGTCTTAATGATTTTGTTGTTGCGTTAAAGTTTTCGACCTCACGAAAAGTGTTATGTATACGTATAAGTATTTATTAAAGGCCTGGGATATAATAAATATTCGCGTAATCTCGCTTTTCAGGCAGTTTTTAAATATATATATAACTTCCCGTAAATGAATACACTTCAATCACTAGTCACCCACAACTTGGCTCCAGACGCTGGAAGCTAATTGTAGTCGACCATGAATTCTTCGAATATTAATTTCTAGTAATATAGGTCAGGAGTACCTACATCGATAAAGTGCAATGCAGATAATGCTAAAAATTATCTACTACAACATACTATCATTTTAATTATCTGACTCTAAGATAAATGATATCATACAAATTCATTTTTTTTTAATTATTGCAAGAAATTAGCTTAATTAAAAAATTAGATTCGATTATTAATAAGAAAATGTCTGTATAAATAAACAAATCAAACCAAAACGTATTTAAACAACTACGAGAGTGATTAAATCCTGTTCATCCTTATTTTATGATTTATTCTTGTCTTGGAAAAACTTGTCGCATTTTTATTGTGGTAAAATGGGTAATTAAATTGTTTTAATTGGATAAAAATGTTATACCTTCTAATACAGAGCAGTCTTTATAAACAAAATCCAATATCTCTATAATATCGTTTCTGAAAAACATACATAATCAAATTACCCCAGATAACGCTTAGTCTAGTATAAAATTGTAGGCTCTCGTGTTTTAGCCACCTGCTTCTTAAAAGTCATCAAAGCAGTATATTACTGTAAGTGTTGATCTTGATAGCACATATCCGCAGGATATTAATGCTAAACACGATTTCCCCAGTATTTTGGCTTTATTTCAATATAAATTCGTCATCTTGTTAACATACCTTATTTTATTTCAGTTTTGTTGCGACAAATTGCTGTCTTTTCTATATGTTCTGTCAGATTTGAAAACGAGTCGCATATGTTGTTGTGATTAAAGTTTTTCAATTTAGAAATTAAATATTAAGTACAGTAGAAATTTACTGTTTATTTTTTTTACAACCATTGTTGGTTGGATATGAAGTAGGTACCTATGTTTCCTGTACCTTAAGTATCTCAAAGATTATCTTCAATATATATTTTCAATCAGCTTAAACAGAGTGCACTGATTAGACCTTCTAGAAGCACTATTCGGTATTGGACAAAGTTTTTAAAGGAATTTGTAATGTTGTTCATGTATTTGTTTAATACACAAAAGTACTGAAATTAATTTATAGTTTATTTACTTGACCGAAATCTGAAGATTATGAGCACGTAGAAATATAGGTCAATTATAAATATAGAAATGTTAGGATGTACTTTCGTACACTAGATTTTAATGTGTTTATGTATCTCTAAAACATCTTTATTATAATATATTTGAAAACATAAACTTGTTTCTATATATTCCTCTAGTGTGCATGCACGAAAATTGTTCGAGGTGCTATGCAATGTGTAAAACTTGGCTTTAGGTAAAAATATAATCTTTGCGACACCTTTGAGATAGAGAAATTTACGAAACGAAACTTTTTACTCGTGCAATGTTTGTTTAAAGGCTGTGAACTAACAAGTGTTTCACTATTTGCTTTGATAGAACATAATTTTACGTTCAAAGTGTTCCGTCTAAAAGAAATGATCTATTCGTTTCTTCGTTATATTTATGAGTCCATTAACATGGTTTTGGCGATATCTGGAGCAAATTCATTCATCACTTTACAAGAATCTTCAGTTAAATGCTGTAAATTATTGTTGGAACGTGAATATTTTTACGGGAATGAAGATATTAATCTTCAAAGAGATTTCCTATTCTTGAGAATATAAACATTTGAAGAGCAAAGTATCATAAGGTATACTTTAGAAACATATCTGCACTAATAGACATTAAAAATATGTCGGTATATCACGCGACGCTGAAACATTACCGCGATAATTTCGGTGACAGCATAACCTATGTCAATTGTCAACCAATTAAATAAATATATACAATGAGAACTATTAAATTATCCATTTTAAATACTTGATAACAGGCAATACCATAAAACAGTTGAATATCATGCGTACTCATTAAACCGTCAGCGTGATCACATTATCTGGCTAATTCGAGAAACGTCTGATGCCAAGTATTTTTATGATTTTTCTAAATATTCAAACTATAATAAACAAGCAGTTTTATATTTGTAGACGACATGAAATGTTATGTCAGATGATTTGAGCTGTGACGTTTGCAGATTTAAATGTACTAAATTAGTACCTTACAGTCCGTTACAAGTGTATTTAACAAATATTTTGCTTTTAAAGTTGATATAATAGAAGTTAAGGAAATAAGCGTACCCTTTCTTAAATTCTGGCTGGATGATCCGTCAATATCACGTGAATTATGTTCATTAACGAATTTTTATTATATAAGAAAATTGTAAAACTGTATACTTGATTGTAAATAAACAATTTAACTTAAAAAAAGAATATTGTCTTTGAATTGTTTCGTTTTGGTAGGGTGTAAAAAATCGATCACCCTCAGACAAAACGTCTAGAAAGTGCTGAAAAATTTAATTCCAAACCAATATCCTGAGAAGACGAAAAACTGTATTTATAATCAAATATCTTTATCACAGATAATTCGTAGTAGGTCATAAATCTCTCTCGCGTCGCCCAATAGTATTTTATTTAACTATCCATGTATTACGTCACATCCTAAATTACACGCTCGTGGAACTCGTCGCTCGTAGAACATAAACATAGATCGATTATTTGAAATTTATGTTATTTTAAAATAGTTGAGACATCCGTTTTTATTCTCATTTATATATGTCACATATATAAGACTGATTTTTAGAATAAGGAGCATGCGATTTATTTGAAAAAAAAAAACACCTTTTGTATAAAATTTTTGACTTAGAACAGTTCACTCTTAAATAAGTGAATTTAATATAGTTCTTGGCACGTAAAAAATAAATCAGTGGCACTACAACCTTTTTAGGTCTGCGCCTCAGGTTTCTGTATATGTTTCATGATCATTTTTTTATCAATCTAATAGGCAAGTAGGTGCCTCCTATGCCTGATACACACCGTCGACTTTTTGGGTGTAAGGCAAGCCGGTTTCTTTACGATGTTTTCCTTCACCGTTCGAGCGAATGTTAAATGCGCACATAGAATGAAAGTCCATCGTCGAACCTACGATTTCAGGAATGAGTCGCACGCTTAAGCCAAGCCAACAAGATATTTGACGCGGGAGATTTGGGTGAAAGTAGGCGCTTATTCATATGATTAAAAATACGTTAAAGACGACTTCGTACCCAAAGAACTTCAGTTAATCCAATCAATTAATAATCTAATAATAATGTACTTAACTTGCCAAGAATAATCAATAAAATAAAAATAATCGGGGACTATATAAAACAAAAGCCACACAACCATACACCAATTATCGTAGCAATACCTAACAATCAACATTTAAAGTAAATCAATGGCGCTAATGGAACTGTGGAATTCTCTTGTCGGTGGTAACAAGGAGTCAGACTGGAGTGAAGTAGCGTCTCTATACCTCCATAACCGTAAAAAATACTTCTCAGTGTCTGAAATAGATAAAGAAGAAGTTCCTATAGTGTTTTCTGAGGGTCATAAAATCAGCTTCAACAAAACTGGACTGGGATTGGACTATACCCCACTTAACTCTATCACAATATTTCACATTGATACTAGGAAAGGTGTGTATAACCATAACCATAAGTTTAAAACGATTGAACGATTTATTCCCTTATATTTACGTACCCACCTTTGCTTTGTTTGTCTAATAACAGAGAAAACCAATAATTCAAAACATGGAATGCACGACATAGATGTATTAGGACGGCATGTACGTGTGTTATACAATCGTACTTTATAGATTTGCATTTCGAAATAGTGGCCGAAAAACAGTACTGGTTCTTGTGTAAATTTCACCCATTACACACTTTATCTATGCCGTGTGTTTTATTTTTATACACTTTGGAAAAATACAACCAGCCAAGTAATTCATCTCATTAATATTCATCTATATATTTCAGCGGAAGTAAAAATGCCCAGTGGTAACGTCGATCAGCCTGTCATTGAAGACAACAGGGATGGTACTGTGAGCATCAAATACGAGCCCAGAGAGGAGGGAGTACATGAATTGTATGTTAAGTACAATGGAGAACATGTTCAAGGTAATGAAACACTTTCTAATAGATAAAATTGTAGAAATAATATATTTAAATATAATGATTATAAAATTCACTTGTAATATTCCATATTAAAGGTTCACCATACAAGTTCCACGTGGACTCCATTCCCTCCGGATACGTGACCGCATATGGAGCAGGTTTGATCAGTGGCGTCAGTGGAGAGCCTAGTCTGTTCACCATCAGCACTAAGGGAGCAGGATCTGGAGGTCTGTCGCTGGCTGTAGAAGGTCCTAGCAAGGCTGAGGTAAGCTATTATGAGTTGAACGTCCATGAATAATATAGAAACTATTCGATGGATATATAATGAAGCGATTTTTATTTGAACTGTTTTGCGTTTTCGAGTAATTGCGGAAAAATATTTTTTTTAATTTAGCCCTTGCCGGGTGTTGCGGCAAGAACATTTAGAAATATTGTTTTTATACCATTAAAATTCATTATATCAAAAATGCAACTAAATAACACTGTTCGCACTATGTAAACAGTGTTGTTACATCAAATATGCTTCTTATCTGATTTCCCAATTTCCCCTTTGAAAAAAATCCTCCATAGATAGATTTGATAGACCAACTGCTAAATTATTTAAATTCTCTTTTATGACCAAGCTATCTTTCTGATATTTTCAGATAACATGTCACGACAACAAAGATGGTACAGTGGCTGTATCATTCCTGCCCACGGCACCAGGCGAGTACAAGGTATCCGTAAGATTTGGAGACAAGCACATCAAGGGATCTCCTTTCTTAGCCAAGGTTTGTTTTTATCAATATATGACACAGACTTTTTTCAATATAATCATATTTGTTTGTAATTGCAGATAGGAGTAATTTTAAAATAATAGTTCTAACGATTTAAAAAGAATATTTTTCCCTTGGAAAATATAACCTTATCTCGTATATACTACAGCTGACCGGGCAAACGTCGTTTTGCCATGTATTTCATTTATAATAAAAAAATAGGGGTTGATCGTAGAGGGGTGAAAGTTAGGGGTTGTATGTATTTTTTAATGCTGTATAATAATAAAAAAACAGAAAAAAATATCTACAAATAAAAAAAAATATATTTAGAGGTGGACAGACAACCCTTAACATTTAGGGGGATGAAAAATAGATGTTGTCCGATTCTCAGACATACCCAATATGCACACAAAATTTCATGAGAATCGGTCGAGCCGTTTCGGAGGAGTTTAACCACAAACACCGCGACACGAGAATTTTATATTATATTAGATGAAGTGTTTTGTTGTTATGTCTTGTGGCACTATAATACTTTGATTAAAACCAACAGATATTGGATAGGGATGGATACAAGAACTGTTCTAGTGTATGTTATACCCTTCACCTGACCTTTTAATTAAAAATGTCTAAATAAGTAAAAATATTATTCCAGGTGACAGGAGAAGGTAGAAAGAGGAACCAGATCTCAGTTGGTAGCTGTAGCGAAGTAACGCTACCAGGAAAGATTAGTGACAATGACATTCGCAGTCTTAACGCTTCTATACAGGTATGTTTGACGTCCCAAAATATAACTAGGCGTAAGGTTTTGTTTGTTTTTTGATTTTATCTGGTGGCATAGACGCCGTGAGCGTTAACTACTAAGCCACAAATGTCTTCTATATAAATATATATGTAAAAAAAAATTATAGAACATAATAGTACGGGAGGTAGCAACGTTTTCGAGAAAGAATTTTAGGTCAGCTGATTTTGTGATATGTCTTCCTTCTTGCACTTTCGGTTAGAGTCTTGGCAATCTGGCTGGCGGTAGCGGTTGCGTTCTTTAGTGCGCATCCTATCTGTCCAGGTAATATCCTGGATTTTAAAAGCATTTTAAGAAGCGTAATTTTTAATTTTTCCTTTTTAAATAAGTCTACCTGACATACTTTTTTTATTGCCAGACATTTTTCACATTGCTAACTATGTGCCAGACGCGATTTTAATTTTTTTTTTTACAAAAATTTCAAAGTGTTTTAGAATGTCTGTAATTTTTTCTTTCAATATAAGAAAAACTAAAAATGAATTTGCCAGACATTAATTCGGTTGTTAAGTCTTGAATTAAAATGAAAAAGTATTGCAGTATGATGAAGCATTGCATTTTAAGAAGCGCAATTTTTAATTTTTCCTTTTTAAATAAGTCTACCTGACATACTTTTTTTATTGCCAGACATTTTTCACATTGCTATGTGCCAGACGCGATTTTAAGTTTTTTTTTTATAAAAATTTCAAAGTATTTTAGAATGTCTGTAATTTTAATATTATGTTCTTTCAATATAAGAAAAACTAAAAATGAATTTGCCAGACATTAATTCGGTTGTTAAGTCTTGAATTAAAATGAAAAAGTATTGCAGTATGATGAAGCGTTGCATTTTAAGAAGCGCAATTTTTAATTTTTCCTTTTTAAATAAGTCTACCTGACATACTTTTTTTATTGCCAGACATTTTTCACATTGCTAACTATGTGCCAGACGCGATTTTAAGTTTTTTTTTTATAAAAATTTCAAAGTATTTTAGAATGTCTGTAATTTTAATATTATGTTCTTTAAATATAAGAAAAACTAAAAATGAATTTGCCAGACATTAATTCGATTGTTAAGCCTTGAATTAAAATGAAAAAGTCATGAAAAGTATGGCAGTATGATGCCTTTCATTGGTAATAAAAATATTTACGTAAGTTTTAATAAATGTTATTCATACAAAGTGATAAATAACTAAGTAATTAAAACTATTGAAGAATCATTATCGTGTGAGAAGATTCTAAACAAAAAAAAAATTAAAAATAACGCTTCCTCAAATGCAATGCTTCATCATACTGCAATACTTTTTCATTTTTATTCAAGGCTTAGCAATCGAATTAATGTCTGGCAAATTCTTTTTAGTTTTTCTTATATTTAAAGAACATAATATTAAAATTACAGACATTCTAAAATACTTTGAAATTTTTATAAAAAAAAAACTTAAAATCGCGTCTGGCACATAGTTAGCAATGTGAAAAATGTCTGGCAATAAAAAAAGTATGTCAGGTAGACTTATTTAAAAAGGAAAAATTAAAAATTGCACTTCTTAAAATGCAACGCTTCATCATACTGCAATACTTTTTCATTTTAATTCAAGACTTAACAACCGAATTAATGTCTGGCAAATTCATTTTTGGTTTTTCTTATATTTAAAGAACATAATATTAAAATCACAGACATTCTAAAATACTTTGAAATTTTTAATAAAAAAAAACTTAAAATCGCGTCTGGCACATAGTTAGCAATGTGAAAAATGTCTGGCAATAAAAAAAGTATGTCAGGTAGACTTATTTAAAATGGAAAAATTAAAAATTGCGCTTCTTAAAATGCAACGCTTCATCATACTGCAATACTTTTTCATTGTAATTCAAGACTTAACAACCGAATTAATGTCTGGCAAATTCATTTTTGGTTTTTCTTATATTTAAAGAACATAATATTAAAATTACAGACATTCTAAAATACTTTGAAATTTTTATAAAAAAAAAACTTAAAATCGCGTCTGGCACATAGTTAGCAATGTGAAAAATGTCTGGCAATAAAAAAAAGTATGTCAGGTAGACTTATTTAAAAAAGGAAAAATTAAAAATTGCGCTTCTTAAAATGCAACGCTTCATCATACTGCAATACTTTTTCATTTTAATTCAAGACTTAACAACCGAATTAATGTCTGGCAAATTCATTTTTGGTTTTGCTTATATTTAAAGAACATAATATTAAAATTACAGACATTCTAAAATACTTTGAAATTTTTATAAAAAAAAAACTTAAAATCGCGTCTGGCACATAGTTAGCAATGTGAAAAATGTCTGGCAATAAAAAAAGTATGTCAGGTAGACTTATTTAAAAAGGAAAAATTAAAAATTGCGCTTCTTAAAATGCAACGCTTCATCATACTGCAATACTTTTTCATTTTAATTCAAGACTTAACAACCGAATTAATATCTGGCAAATTCATTTTTAGTTTTTTCTTATATTTAAAGAACATAATATTAAAATTACAGACATTCTAAAATACTTTGAAATTTTATAAAAAAAAAAACTTAAAATCGCGTCTGGCACATAGTTAGCAATGTGAAAAATGTCTGGCAATAAAAAAAAGTATGTCAGGTAGACTTATTTAAAAAAGGAAAAATTAAAAATTGCGCTTCTTAAAATGCAACGCTTCATCATACTGCAATACTTTTTCATTTTAATTCAAGACTTAACAACCGAATTAATGTCTGGCAAATTCATTTTTAGTTTTTCTTATATTTAAAGAACATAATATTAAAATTACAGACATTCTAAAATACTTTGAAATTTTATAAAAAAAAAAACTTAAAATCGCGTCTGGCACATAGTTAGCAATGTGAAAAATGTCTGGCAATAAAAAAAGTATGTCAGGTAGACTTATTTAAAATGGAAAAATTAAAAATTGCGCTTCTTAAAATGCAACGCTTCATCATACTGCAATACTTTTTCATTTTAATTCAAGACTTAACAACCGAATTAATGTCTGGCAAATTCATTTTTAGTTTTTCTTATATTTAAAGAACATAATATTAAAATTACAGACATTCTAAAATACTTTGAAATTTTATAAAAAAAAAAACTTAAAATCGCGTCTGGCACATAGTTAGCAATGTGAAAAATGTCTGGCAATAAAAAAAGTATGTCAGGTAGACTTATTTAAAATGGAAAAATTAAAAATTGCGCTTCTTAAAATGCAACGCTTCATCATACTGCAATACTTTTTCATTTTAATTCAAGACTTAACAACCGAATTAATGTCTGGCAAATTCATTTTTAGTTTTTCTTATATTGAAAGAACATAATATTAAAATTACAGACATTCTAAAATACTTTGAAATTTTTATAAAAAAAAAATTTAAAATCGCGTCTGGCACATAGTTAGCAATGTGAAAAATGTCTGGCAATAAAAAAAGTATGTCAGGTAGACTTATTTAAAAACGAAAAATTAAAAATTACGCTTCTTAAAATGCTTTTAAAATCCAGGATTATTACCGGACAGATAGGATGCGCACTAATGAACGCAACCGCTACCGCCAGCCAGATTGCCCAGACTCTAACCGAAAGTGCAAGAAGGAAGACATATCACAAAATCAGCTGACCTAAAATTCTTTCTTTTCAAACGTTGCTACCTCCCGTACTATAAGATACAGGTATCACTTATTCCACGTCATTAAATTTGAATCTATAGGCATCCCTACTCATCGGCAAAGAAGACAGAGGGTGTAGGCCGAGAGAAAAAGCCGGCGTAAAAAACTCTCGGTACTCTTTTAAAATAGCAAATCATCAAACAACACTTATTTTAAAACAACTATCCCAATATTAGATCATAGTATGTATTATTTGAAAAATAATAGTTTATACAAGTGGCGATTTGGATAATTTAAAAACTTTGTATTTTTAGAAATAAATAAATGTATAAAAATTAAGAGTTGTGATCGTGATTTGTACAAATAAAGATCTTCTAAAAATAAAAGCAAATATTTTTTCAGGCACCATCAGGCCTAGAAGAGCCATGTTTCCTCAAACGGTTGCCTTCTGGTAATATCGGGATTAGTTTTACTCCCCGCGAGGCAGGACAGCACGTCGTGTCGGTGAAGAAGATGGGTGTTCACATCCAAAATTCTCCATTTACTATAACCGTCCAGGAACAGGAAGTTGGTGATGCTAAGAAAGTTAAGGTAAGATAATCTAAATTAACAAAAATTTATACTTTCTTCTTTTGATCATACATTCTATCATCATACATTCTGTGGTAAATAAAATAATGTTGTAATCGTCAATGCGAGCTAGTTTATACGGCTATTTGAATTTTCTTACATTTATATGTTTTGATGATTTTACTGTCAAACGAGCAAACGAGAGCTTTATTTAAAGATTTGAAGATATTCAGCGCCGTATAATATATGGATAACAGCTCCATATTATTTAGTTATATAACAATGAATACGGTAAAAAAATGCATCATAATTTAAGCAAACTGTGAGGTTGCATTAGGATTTTGGTTTATATTTTCATTCCAAGAAAAATGTTGGTGCAAACGCATACATCTACCCAGTTGTCGAAAATTAATTGATTGTTTTTAAAATTAGAACTCAAATTTATAATGTATTGACAGTTTGTAATTTCAAAATTAGAATTTTAAACTCAGATTTTAATTGGCAGGTATCAGGCAGTGCCTTGAAAGAGGGCAAGACCCAAGGCGAGAACACCTTCACTGTGGACACCAGGAACGCTGGTTATGGTGGTCTTTCTCTATCTATTGAAGGTAAAATTCTAACTACCAAATGGTTCTTAGAAAATTAATGATTTAGGAAGTTTAATCAGATATTCCATAAAAATATTATAGTAGGTTTTTTTATATTTTTTTAAACCGCTGAATTAAAGTATTTTTCCGGGTTTAAAGTATATTTCCTTAATATCTCATATATATAATACTAGCAGACCGGCCAAGCGTTGCTGTGGCTAAGGTTTTTGTTATATTACATAGTAGCAAACTATTCAAGGGAAATGGTAGGAGAACACAAGTCATGGGGACCACCATGCTTTTTTGGTGGTTATGCCATTAAATTATAGCTTATGCGAAACGTTGGTACTTTCAACACAGCGCCATCTGTTAGAATTGTGACTATCAAATAATAAACAAATATTTTGCAATAAAATAATATTACGGGTATAAATTGAGATGTAAGCTCATCATATCTTTTAAGTTGGATCAAACTACACACGGTGTGCAAATTTGATTGATATCGGTTCGGTAGTTTAGGAGTCCATAGCGGACAAACAACGTGACACGTAATTTATATACATAAAGATAAAAAAAATTCTCAAATATGCAAAAAGTAGACTAAAATAATTATTAAAAAGTTTATTCTCTAGATGTATAAAAATATAAATAATAAATAACTCTATATTAGTCAAACAATATTTGGTCACTTATATTTATTTTCTAAGTCTTAATATGATAAGCAATTGTTACCTAAAATAAGTGTTTAGGTATTAAAACACATAAATATAAATTATATTTTATTTGCTACACAATAGGACCCAGTAAAGCAGAAATCCAGTGCGCGGACAGCAAAGAAGGAGTACTATCTATCAGCTATAAGCCAACTGAGCCTGGTTACTACATCGTCAATTTGAAGTTCGCTGATCATCATGTAGAAGGATCGCCATTCACTGTCAAGGTGAACTAAAATAAATAAATAAATGAATCGGTGGCGCTACAACCTTTTTTAGGTCTGGGCCTCCGATTTCTGTATAAAAAAAAAAAGGGGGAAATTTTTAAATTTTTAAATTTTTTTGTTATAAAAAATTTTTTTTTTTTTTTTTAATTTTTTTTTTTTTTTTTGTTTCATGAGAAAATCAGTCAAATTTATCATAAGAAAGATTATGCAAACGTATTTTAAGCTTACAAAATATGGATTTGTAACTCATACCAACTTCATAAACTTTAAAGTAAACTAATTTCACTCTAATTTCAATTTTTGAAATAATAATATAACAGGTGTCTGGTGAGGGCAGCAACAGACAGCGGGAGAAGATTCAAAGACAGCGTGATCCCGCGCCGCTCACTGAAGTGGGAACTAATTGCAAACTTACCTTCAAAATGCCTGGTAATTATTAGTTTTTATATGAATGCAGATAATAACTATATATATTCTCTAATATTTTTTACGTCAGTTTCACAAAATTCGTAAAACGTCAATAATCTTGCCGACTCAGTTTTGCATTAATTTCTTGGGAAGCCTATACAACAATTATAATGGAGGTTTGGAAATGGTTAATGTTATACATCCAAACTCCAAAGTAGTTAAAGTCAATCAGTTTTGTTGATAACCCAATTACAATTATGGCTTCATATGGAATAGAATCCAGGACCACCAAGCTATACGCCCAATTTCAACTAAAATTTCATTATGAAAAAGGACCAAAGATTTCCGCATAAAACGTGTAAACTCCATGCAACACCCTCGATTTAACGACAAACCCCTTAATGCGTCGAAATCACTCGGTTTTGGTTGGTTTAGCTTGTCTTCCATACAATGATACACTCTACATAGCATTACACCCACCTCAATAACGACAATAATTAAATACTAAAAAGTACTTTTAAAGTTGCCGAAATTAGTTAAAACTGTGGAGCTGTGAACGTCTTTTTTGTCGCTTTTTTGTTGTCCTAGCAAGAAATAAACTGGAATGTCAGTACTCATCATACGTACCAAACTTTCCAATAAATTTACAAATTTCGCATACTTGCATGTGCTTTATTACGAAGATGCCTCAATATCGCAAGAAATACAACCTAACTACTGGTACAGTACAAATATAACAGACAACGCAATAGCGTTCAAATACGTATTGTTTTTATGTAATTACTAACACTAGTCTAAAATAAACTCTTTGTAATTTCAAAATAGCACAGTCCCTTAAGTGTCGTTATATTTCATTTTTTTTTACCCCTGCGTCACAGTAGTGTTAACATGTAAAAATATTTAATGTGTATTTTTCAGGCATCACATCCTTTGATCTGGCTGCAACAGTAACCAGCCCTGGAGGTGTCTCTGAAGACGCAGAGATCCAGGAGGTGGAAGATGGGTTATACTCCGTTCATTTCGTACCTAAGGAATTGGGTGTTCACACTGTGTCTGTCAAATATAGGGACATCCATATTCCCGGTAAGAATGTTTTTAAACCTTTAAAAACAAAATTATTTTGTTAATTTAAATTTCATTTAGCAGACCAAACTAAAAATCATATATTGATAAATTTTATTGTATCTAACCAAAATGAGCTACTAGGTGTTTATACCAAAATTATATATAGTTTTCGAAAACTGTAAAACTAAGAAAACCCTTTTTAATTATTGATTTACAAAAAATTTTAAATCCTGTTTTATTTTTAACCAGGATCTCCCTTCCAATTCACCGTGGGTCCACTTAGGGATTCCGGTGCTCACTTGGTGAAGGCTGGAGGAGCTGGCCTTGAAAGAGGAGAGGCTGGAAGATTCAATGAGTTCAATGTATGGACAAGGGAAGCTGGGGCCGGACAACTTGCCATCTCACTTGAGGGTCCTAGCAAGGTTAGACTAATTAGTCGTCTCAACGAAAATATATTATGAAAGACGTTTAAAAGGCTTACTTAATCCTAATAACCAAACTGTAAATAGCTTATAGTTTTTATAAATATTTATTAAAAATGAAAAAAATTTCACTGGTTTTTAAAAATTAATTTGCTGCGACAGTACAGTTTTTTTCTTAGACTTCTGTTATCCTCTGAACTGTTACATGCGCTATGAGATCAAAATATTATAGTATAATAGTCTTCATGCACATTGCTTCGTGGTACCTTAATTATAGTATGAACTCTACAAATATATTTAAACCCTAAATCATTGATAGAACTTTTTACTTTTGTTTTGACAAAGCAGTTGGTACATTTAAAGTGTGACGGCTATAAACTTATAGTTTTAAAATGTATGTTTATTTTATTTTAGGCTGAAATTGACTTCAAGGATCGTAAGGATGGGTCCTGCGACGTATCTTACAAAGTTGATGAGCCTGGTAAGTAATGGTTATTACTATATAAGTTATTTTTTTTAGTTAGCACCAGGAGTTTTGTTAATAGTATTATGCATTATTTAATCATGCTCAAGGTGACGAATTCCATATTAATATGCACGGATAACTGTTCAAACAACCCGTAACGTGACATATCAAAAGTGTATGGTAAACTTTCAAGCCGTTTATGGACACATGTTCAGTAAATACCATGAAAATAAACAATATTAATCATGTCGGTAAATGCAAAATGAGCGTATAATTTACGCGCTGTTATCGTGTCCATCGAACTTTGCAAGTCAAATTCCATCCACCCCGCGGTGGATACTATAAAAACATACAAACACTGAAATGCACTTCATAAATAAAGTGACTCGTTTCGACCACGCCCAGCTGCCATTGGCCAATGGAATCCTTGACCATAGCGCGGCAAATACCGCGAGCCATTTTGACAGATCGATTTTTTTATTTATTTTTTTCTTAGCGATAATGGCTGCGTTTTCAGCCAGTGATTACTTGAATTTACGATAGAGTTTTTACTAATGTTTGCGATAATTCGTAAGGTTTTTCGAAACACGTTCTTATACGTGAAATACGTTTATTGTGGTACAACGATTTGCTAAAGAAAATTTAAATTTATTAACAATGCGAGTTTTTGTAGCGTTATTGAGAAAGTCTTGAAGTGTTTTTGGAAAAATTAGCCACAACATGTCGATTCTTGCTTTTTTAAATTGTCAGATAAAATATGAACAAGCAAAAGTCTACTCTCAGTGATTATATGAAAATTGGCGTCTTCACCTTTACGTATTTTAACGTTGATACTACCTAACTAAAGTAGGTATATTATATACTGATGAGATTTAAAGTGTATTTTATTGTCTGCAATTAAAAGTTCTCGTACGAGGAACGAAAACATCTTAAGGAATTTAATATGACTTAGAAAATCCACGACGTGAGTCGGTCAAAAGAATGATCAGTTACTTATCATAAAGAAAAGAAAACACATTAACTCAGTGATTCCATAAAAGCAAATGTATCTAATAGAATTTTACTACTAAAAACTATTAAAAAACATCGACTTAATTTACACCACAATAACCCAAAAAAGCAGAAATAATAAATACAAAATACAATGAAAAGATAAAGGATGTAAATGGGCGGTCTAACTGCTAAAAGCAATTTCTTCCAGACGTAAAAAAAATATACAAAAGAATTAAAAACATAACTACTTAATATAAAATTACACGCAAGGTAAAAAAAACAAATAGCTTTATAGTAGTTATTGTGATATTAATTCTTACATTATGCAAATAAAATTCAATTATGGCTACATCTGCACATAATCACTGTTTGATATAACGATAAACAGATGCAATATTTGCATAATATTCTGTATCTGTGGTTAGGTGGGTTGCGCTTATATATTTTAATCATATAACAATAATGAACAAGTAAGATGAAGAATTGTGCTAATAGTTTTCAGATATGATATTAAATCTAAATTCTTATTAGATTCTTGCAAGATTACACCGCCCAGTGGCATAACTATTTATGTATATCTCAGATTACTGTATCGGTTTAATTTTTTATAGGCAAATCGATCTTTATTCGGTGCCTGACGTCAATTTGAGGGTTTTCTCACCGTATTTTGTTTCGCTGAAGGAGCCGGTACTAATTACGCTGATAGAAACAAATTTTGATAAGACGGATATCGAACGCACGAACTCAATGTTAAGTAACATAATTAACGACTAGCTTAACTATACTGCACTTTTTTGCGAAACTTTACAAGAAAACACTGAACATTTGCTAGAAATTTACAAGATTTACACGGAAGAATTCGATTTAAATTAATAAAATCAAACCGATTATCAAAATCCTGTATATGAAAGCGTGTTTTTATGTTATCTATTACACAGAAGAATACGTGAAATATATTTAAAAAAAAATTTTTTTTAAAAGAATCTTTATTATAAAAGATACACTACTTGTTATAATAGCTTAAATGATCAAAAATTGATCATCTTGGATATATATACTTTGAGATTTAATTTTTTAATTAATAAAAATCAAACAAGTTTAACGACCCTTTGTCTCACAGACTTAAGTCATTATTCATGTGGATGTTAAAAATTTCCAACAGCGATACACTTATGAAGTATGCCAACGTAAAAAGACGCCGTTCTTTGACGAATATTTGGCGGAATTTTTTATCGTTTGAAACACAATGGGGCCGGACAAATTCTGTTTAGAGCTCGGATTCCTTTCCTTTGGTGTTTAAGAGTCATTTTAATTGACTATGAGGATAGTGAAAAAAGTTAACCCTGGCTATGATGGAACGCCGGCGATTGTAAATTTTTACGAGTATATTGTTTGTATTGATTATTCCGAAATTAAACATAGCCTTAAACGACAGTTCAACAAAACTGCTTAGATTTACAAGGAAAGGCTTAAGTACAAAGCATATAATATTTTTAATATTCTCAGCGCATAACCACCGGGCGTTTAAAATTTTTGATACACAATATATTTGACACTATAAGCAGTGTTGGGCTAGTGGCTTCAGCGTGCGACTCTCATACCCGAGTTCGTAGGTTCGATCCCCGGCTGTGCACAATTGACTTTCTTTCTATGTGCGCATTTAACATTTGCTCGAACAAACCGAGGAAACCGACATGTCTTAGACCCAAAAAGTCGACGGCGTGTCAGTCAGGCACTGGAGGCTGATTACCTACTTGCCTATTAGATTTAAAAATTATCATGAAACAGATTCAGAAGTCTGAGGCTAAGACCTAAAGAGGTTGTAGCGCCACTGTTTTTTTTTTTTTTTTTTATTTGACACTAACATATATTGCGTATTAAAGTAGAAAAGTCGAGTTTAAATTTGAGCTAGCGTTAAGTACTCTTAAATCTTCATCAAATATTATATATATTTATATTTTCATAGAATCCTGTGAGAAATTCGTAAATATATATTTGTAGATTCGAAGCTAATTAGAATAACATTTATTTAATCATTACATGGTTATTAATCCCGCTACTTACCAAAAATTTTCGTGAAAAAATATATTTGAAATGAGACTAAGCTACTTGTAAGAAATATTAAATTAAGGCGTATACCTAACATATTAATCTTGTTAGACCTATCTAATTTGACAAAAAAGTTTTTTTAAGTAAGAAAAAGTGACCTAAAAAGCACTCTTGAAATGTAAATCTACAACAACAATATGCCTACCGCGTTGTAACAAGATTCAAGCGTAAAAAAACATCAGCCAAGCACGTATCGGCCGGCCTCTATGAATGTCTACAAATTCCAATTAGTTTTTGCTTTGAATAGATGGCATTTTAGATAAATGTACCTTTTTTTTTATTTAGACTATGTGTCCTATCCTTAGTTCCATTTCAAAGCAAACAAACGTACCGACCATATCGGCAATTATTCCAGGCTATTTAAAGAAAAAACTTGTGTGCATGATAAATCAAATAAAAATATATGTTTAATACGCCTGTATCTTGAACAAATTCAATTAATATAAATAACTTTAATTAATTTAACTCATGCTGGTATAACAATTGTTGTACCTTGAACGGATCTCTAAAACTGTGCAGAATTTAAATATCTCGGCCCAAAGAAGAATTATTGTTACATCGTTAGTGGCTCATTTCAATCCAAAATACAGTTTTTATATTCTAATGAAGTTCTTATTGAATTTTTTACGTTTTCATCGGGTTTTTTGAATGATGCAAATAAGTCGGAACTTTGAGGATCGGAAGTGGATAATTTGTGTCACATGTGATATGTTATAGTGAAACAGGTGTTGCGCTTTTTTATTTACACAAAAATTATATTAAAAGTTATTTTCAACATTCTTTAGTATGACGATGTGACGATTTGATTCACTTATGTATTGGTAAATTTATTGACTTTCTCCGTGATAAGCGTGATTATTACTTATAAATTATTACCAATTGCTAATAAGTGATTTACATTTAGTTCGTTACATTTAATGGTATGATCCTAGATACTGGGTTTAAAATTTTCTGGTCCCGTATCGGAGATTCTATGATCCATGGCAAAATTCGTATTGAATATGGTATGTTTGTTGGTCCTAGGTATCATTATATGATGATACAATAGGTTACATACAGCCTTGCGATTCTGTAACTCACTTTTCGAACTCTCACAGCGGTTTTCGCAGTGGCGGTCGCGCTCAAATCAGTGGTGAAGCAGTCTTTTTATGATTTGGCATTCTGATAAGGATGGACTAATCATTTACTTCCCACGATCAAAGACACGCGAAAAAAATGTATCTGAGATATATCAGTAATAAAATTGACTAACTTTGCTAGTATTATTTCTTCATTACACGATAACAGAGACAAAATCTTCTACACATTCATTCGACATCTTTGGTATACCTTAAGTAATATACAATCAGAAACCTGTAACACTTGCTTCTTTACAGGTGAATACCGTGTCGGCCTAAAGTTCAACGAGCAACATATCCCAGACTCACCTTTCAAGGTCTACATCAGTCCAGCAGTGGGTGACGCCCACCTGTTGGAGGTGGCCCAATTCCCTGATTCAGCCCAAGTGGACAAACCCACCCAGTTCTACATCAGACTCAATGGGGCCAAGGGACAGCTCAATGGCACTGTAAGTAAACTGTCTTGTTTAGTTAGAATTTACTATGAAAAAGAGTTCCGGTTTTTTCATACATATAAGATTACAGTTGTGTTATTGTGTCGTTAGTTAGGCTGTAGATTTGTTCCCCAATAAACTTTGTATAACAAAACTTACTTATTAGGAGTATATGTAAATGATAATATAACTTAAATGTGGATATTAACAGAACCTAAACGTCTTCTGTATGTAAAAATGTCTGATATATCATTGCAAAAGGATGATTAAAAATGCTTGTGTGTAAAAGTTAAACTCTTATGTAGTAAGTTGAAATAAAAAGAAATAAAACAATTGTTCCTATTGTAAAGTGCTCGTGGATTACCTTAGTTGATCGGTGAAGGTCTGAACAATTTGCTTTATACTGTGCACGAATAAAGCTCCCAGGATTTGCTATGTATAGGGATTAACACGTGTAACGCCACATTAAAAATGTATGCGGATTCAAATATTCTTTCCGCAATTCCGCGATTGTTCGCCCAAAGTAGGGGTCAGTTGATTTATCGTGGGAACATGCAATGTTGTATTAAAGATGCAGCTTAGTATACTGTACAGCAGCTTTGCTTGTTTAGGTCGCTAGTTCCTAAACATTTACGGTCTAAGTACAATCCTCAATATCTACTGAATAGCCTTATCAGTATCGTGTTCAAAATTACAAGTATTGATACAAGTTTTAGAAACTAGTTGAAGCATAAATAACGTGTATAAAGTATATACCCAGTATGATTATCGTAATATATATTATAAATTACACGTCACGTTGTTTTTCCGCTGTGGACTCCTCAACTACCTAACCGATTTCAATCAAATTTGCACACCATGTGCAGCTTGATCTAACTTAAAAGATAGGATAGCTTACATATATATAATTCTACTGTACGTGTGTATGTCACTGAACTCCTCTAAAACGGCTGGACCTATTTAAATGAATTTTTTTGTATGCGTCTGGTTGGCGCCCTGGATGTTTTAGATTCACAAACCAGTCCGGCAGATGGCGCTGCGGTCGGTAGTTTCATACTTTGTTTAATATCCTAATCGCTTGAAATATCATGTAGGACAACGTTTCCTGTAGTAGTCTAGTAAATTTAAATACTGAAAAATCAAATCATTTACATATAAATTCGTATTGCCTGGGAGATATCGCTCAATAGCGTTAAAGCTACGTAATGTTCAAGACTATAGTTGGTATATATATCTTACTTTCTTATGTGTGAAATGAATCAAACAGAATACATAGAAGTTATACATTTTAAAATAATTATTTTTAATCATCAACACTGAAATGTTCCGTCCTGTGGCCCATTATCGGTTGTCGGACCAATTTTCCGATTATAGAACAATATATCACGGGTATTGCAAAAAAATGTAATAAAACATCGGCCGCACGTGACCACAATATTTCATATAATATTTTATGAGTTGCCCGATGAATATATGAAAGTTTCGTGATGCGTTATTTAATATGGTAACACTTGTGACTGGCCAGTTACTTGATTTATTTCTTTCTAAGGGTCGCAGGTTTGATAAAAATTTTCGCCATTTGAAACAAACATGCGACCTCTTCTAAAACAAATGAACATATAAATCCTCATAGAAAATATTTAATAATGTAGAGCGCATTATATTTCTTTTCATTACAATTTTATTACTTTACGAGTAACATAAGCAATTTACAATTTAATAAAACTGCTGCAAAATAGAAATTATGGTTAAATAAATTCTTCACGCCCATTGAATGTTTAAAGTCCATATAATAAATTTGAGTGTTTGTTGAATACATTGGACGTCAGTTTACAGTGATTTGATGTTCAATTATCTAAACTAAAATGAAAATTTTCACTTTAGTAATTGGTGGAAAGTTGTAGAAGAATTAGTATAAAAAACTGAATAGGAAAATTCAATAATTTTTATAATATTACACGATTTCACCCGGTCAAATGAAAATATTAAATACGTGTTTTTAACATAATATATTATTGTTTATGTTTCGTACTATAACAAAATATTTTAGAACCGACAGAGTCCTTATGTTTTATTTCTTTTATATATTTTAAGTACATTATTACAGTAATCTCCCAGGCCAATAGAATCAAAATATAATAAGTTCAGTTATATCGTTAGGATATTTGTTTCGATTGGAATATGACGCATAATTCTAACTTAAAGCGAATTATATTTATATTATTAAATAGAAAATTAACCTATATTTCCGAAAAAGTAGGTTAATAATCAGAATAAAAGAAGTTTTATTGCGTAATTTTAACCTTCAAAAGTTAAATGCATAGTGATGGCTATTAATAATTATGATAATTATAATTTATTACGATAATTAATAAGCATTTAAGCGTATAAGAAGGTCAAAGTCTAATGTTTTATAATTGTAATATTTAATATTTATTACGTCATGATATCGAATATTTCATTTAATATCTTGGTTTAGAACTGAAAAAGGTGATATATGGGAATATATCACCTTTTTCAGTAATAACTTGGGAGTCCAAGTCTAAAGAAAACTAAAGTATGGTATGAAGAAGAGAAGTCTTTTTGATGCAGAATAATAGATAAATTTAATTTTGTTTTAAGAAATCTATTTAGCCGTTTTTGTTGTTGCAGCTTTCAAAATAACTAACCCATTTATCACAAAGTAATCTAGACTCCACGAACGATTTGTTTTAGGTGGTCTCTCCGTCAGGCAAAACAGATGACTGCTTCATCCAAAACATTGATGGGGACCAGTACTCCATCAGGTTCATGCCAAGAGAGAATGGAGTTCATAACATCAACGTGAAGTTTAACGGAGTTCACATACCAGCCTCGCCATTACGGATAAAGGTAATAAACATATTGTGCTTTCGTTTTAAAGAGTCAGTGTTGCTAGGATGGAACTCCATCACTTTTACGCTTAATTCACAAATGTATTATATAATGCAACAATAAGAAAATTCTATATTTAAAATAACATTAACATAATGGAACATTTACATACTTGTTGATTAAAGTGATTTTTTTTTAATTGTGACAGGTCGGCAAAGACGACGCTGACCCCGCTGCAGTCCATGCTCACGGCACTGGTTTGGGATCAGTTAAAACTGG